ATCCCGAGAGGAGAATGGAGGAGAAGGGATTGCGGCGTGACCATCCCCCCTGGGGGGTGATTTCTCGCTTTCTGTCTCTATGTCTCTCTCTGCCTGTCTGGCGAGCGCACGCGCCCTATAGCGAAAACCTCTCAAAAAAAAAAAAAAGGTTAAAATGGGGCCAGCAGGCGGCATTCTGGTTAAGGAGCTGGATCCCACATGACCAGCTCTGTAGTTTGAGTCCCAGACCTAGAGGCTTAAAAAACACACAGGGTGCATGTGCTTGCATGCCCAAACTCCTGAGAGGAGAATGGAGTAGAAGGGATTGCAGCATGGCCATTTCCCCTGGTGGTGGTAGAGGTGATTTCTCACTTTCCTTCTACCTCTCTCTATTTCTAGAGAGTGCATATACTGGATGGAAAAAAAAATTAAGTAAGAAAAGAGTAAAATGGTAAATTCTGTATTATGTATATTTTACCACAATTTAAAATAAAAATAAATCAAAAACATTTTTTGTGGTAGCTACACGTACGGCTCTTCAAGTCCATAGTCTGCTTCTTGTACTGAACAAATCACACGACCTCTCTGGGCCTCATTGACTCAGCTGTAAGAAAGACGATCACATAGCCTTCAATGTCTTTCCGAGATCCAAATTTGAAAGGATGGTTTTTGCTTATTTTTCTTCTTTTTGCTATTTATTTATTTATTTATTTATTTATTTATTTATTTATTTAAAGACAGGGTCTCACTATGTTGCCATCCTCCTGCCTCAACCTCAAAAATAGCTGGGATTATAGGCAAGTACCACATCTAGCTTTTAGAGTAGACAGGAATTGATCTTGGGTATTCCATGTGAACTTACCAGAGTCTACCAGTGCACACTACCACAGCCAGGCTATTGTTTTTATTTTTTAAAACAAACAAACGAAAAAAACACATCTTTTCTTCCTAATCTCAAGCATAAATAGTTGAGATGGTGAGTTAATCAGTTAGTTACTTACACATCCGCATCATTGGTTCCTATAAGGCTACTTCTGTGCTATATTTGTTTATATTTACTCATTATTTACTACCACCTAATAGGAAACCATTCTACAATATTTAATGTGTAATTTATTATATGTTCTTGTAAAATATGGATGTATTTTACTTCTATGCATGTGTTTTTACTGAGATGGATAGAATGATTTCATGTCATTAATATTTCTTAAACTTGTAGCTTAGCACTCTGCTCCTAAGATCACCTGTGTGTCCCTGAGCACACCTGATCCACACGGCAGGTTACCATCACATTTTATGTTTATTATTCCAGGAATGGACACTGAGATTGCTACACCTCCCTACCTCCACAGAACACGACCCAGAGCATGCTGCATCTCTGTCTGTATGATCCCATTGGAATTTCATCACCACAGAGATGTGGGACAGAGTGCAGGTCACATGCTTCATTGACTCCTTGGTCCTAGTCTATATGCCTGGCAGGCAGCTCATGAGGTTTCTGTGTCTGCATATTCCCCCAAAGCTGGCTCAAACCCAGCTTTCCAATTATTTCCAGTCTCTTCAGTATGAAGTGGTATAATGTTGTTTCATTTCTCTGATTAGAAATGAATTTGAAATACCAAATACCAGCCTTTTTTTCTTTTTTTAAGCTTTTGCCATAGGGTGCATGGACTCACTGGAAAGAGAGAGAGAGAGGAACAGAGAGAGGAAAAATGAGAAATCATCCCCCTACAGGGGATGACCACACTGCAATCCCTTCTGCTTGATTTTCCTCCTGGGGATTTTGGGTACACACACATGGGTCTGGTGTGATTTTCAAACTGCTGGGCCTGGAACTTGAACTGTGGTCAGCCACATGGGAATCCAGTACAACCACCATACCACCTCCTGGCCATGAATATCAGCCTTTTATATTTCTTCTTCTATAAATTGTCTTTCAAATCCTTTGCCCATTTTTTAAAATAAAAGTTGCAGAGTACATTTGTGTCTTGTTGCTCATGTTACAAATCATAATAACATAAGTTTATTCTCTTGCAGTTCTGGCAGCAAGAAGTCTGCTATAGGCCTTACTGGACTAAGATCAAAGTGTCTGGAAGACTGCATTCTTTCTGAGGCTTTGAGAGATTTTCCTTCGCTTTTTAGGGTCTGGAGTCGCCACATTCCCTGTCTCGTGGCCTCTTCCTCTACCTTCAAAGCCAGCAGTTTAGCATCTTTAACTCTTTGATTCTGACCTTCTGTCCCCATCTTCCACATTTAAAGGACCCTTGTGATTACACTAGGCCCACCAGGATAATCCAGGATCATCTCTCCATCTAGAGGTCAAGCTGATTAGCAGCCCCACTGCCATCTGCAACCTTAATTCCCCTTTGCCATGTAGGGAGACATATTCATAGGACCAGGGATTAGGACACAGACGCTTTTGGGGACTGTTCTTCTGTATTTTCTGCTTTATTTGGAGTAGTTTTGTGTATGCTCTAAATATCGATGCCTTATTGGTTTCAGACTTCACATATATCCTCTCCTTCCTCTCATTTTTCATTAACTTTATCTAGAATACTTCTCTGAAATGTTTAATTTGATGCAATCTGACTTACCAAATGTTTGTCTTATAATTGTGCTTATCAGAGTTATATCCAGGAATTCCTTTTCTGTCTGTAGATAATAAAGGCATCTTTCTATATTTTTTCTATCAGCTTTATGTTTTTAATCTTTCGTATTTATGTCTTTAATCCATCAGGAGTTCACTCAGTCTGTTTCATGCAAACAGTGTGCTGTTTCATCTGTGCATTGTGTTTTGTCTTTTTTTTTTTTTTTGGTCACAGGGTGTATGTGCTCTCTAGAGAGAGATGGATAGAGATGGGGAAAGAAGTCTCCCAGAAGGGATGGGTGTGCTGCAATTCCTTTTCCTCCATTCTCCTCTTGGGATTTTGGGCACATGCACACACACACTGGGTGTGTTTTTCAGGCCACTGGGTGTAATACTCAAACTATGGACTTAGCCATGTGGGATACAGCGCCAGAACTACCACGCCATCTGCTGGTCCCCAACTATGTTGTACCCGATGGAAAGTCATTCCTTTGATCTTCTTTTTCTTTTCTTTTCTTGGAGAGGTTTTCACTATAGGGCGCGTGCGCTTGCCAGACAGAGACATAGAGACAGAAAGCGAGAAATCACCCCCCAGGGAGGATGGTCACGCTGCAATCCCTTCTCCTCCATTCTCCTCTCGGGATCTTGAGCACACATGCACACGCGCCCGGCGTGAGTTCTAAGCCACCGGGTCCGGGACGCGAACTGCGGTCGACTACGTGGGAGTCCAGTGACATAGCCATTATGCTAACTGCTGGTTCCCAGGCCTTTGATCTTCTTCTATGCCAGCACATCTTTTCTTTCATCTTTAGTAACTTTCATATTTTCCTAGGAAATGATTGATTTCATCCATGATTTCAAATGCACTATCATATGGTTACCCCTAAAACCCTGATTTTTCTTCTCATTCTATCTATAGTTAGTTAGTTCTTATTTCTTATTCCATTGATTATTACCAGTATTATCCCTCCATTTTTTTCAATAAATCTTACTAGGTAATCTATTTAATCTTAAAAAGAAAACAAAACAAAAAACCCCAGCTTTTACTTTTGTTAATTTCGTCTGTTTTTCTGTATTCTCTATTTTACTGATCTGTGTTCTTTCCTTTGCTATTTCCTGTCTTATTGGTTCCTTGGGGAGGTCTTTTCTTGCTCTTTTTTTTTTTTTAATCAACCTTTTGCGTTGGTTTATTTTGGCATTTCACATTTTCCATGTTTCTTAACACATATACAGTTTCAAAAGTCTTTCTAAACACAATGTTAGCAATGACGTGTTAATTTAGACAGATATTGCTTCAAAATAATTAGCTCTAAAGTTCCTTAAGTTTGCTATGGTTTTATTTGTCACACAATAATTTTTTAAATAGCATTATTTATTTGCTGTTTAAAAAAAAATATGCCAGAGGGTATATGTACTCACCAGGGAGGGAAACAGAGAGAGAGAGAAAGAGAGAGAGAGAGACAAATCACTCCCCATGGGACATGGTCATGCTGCAATCTCTTCTTCTCTACTTCTCCCACCTTTGAGGGTTTGGGACTTGCACACACTTGCTATGTTTTGCAAGCCACTAGGTCAGGAAACTGATTGCATGGTTGGCCATGGGGAATCCAACTCACTCAACCATCAAGCCATGGTCTGGGTCAACACATTATTTATATAAGCTGTTCCTTTATTATTAATTTTGAAGATAATTGCCTTATAGTGGAGGACATATGCTATCTTACAGAAAGACTTGACAGAGGCCTACACACATTCTAGTTTTACAAATGTTTTCTGAATGCATAAAAAGTCACATACAGAATTCAAAATATACCTAATAGGTCAAATTTGTTGTTTATATTGTTAAGAGATTAGCACTCTAGCCTTTTTCGTTGGCCTGTTTCTTGGAGTAGATGAAAACCTCCAAGTACAACTTGTCATTCACTCAATTTTCTTAGAATTATGTTGGCTGAAGTTTAAGGCAACAGCTTAAGCCGTGGGTACTGACATCTGAGGATAACATCAAGGCACCTCGAAGGCACCCCATTTCTAGCCGCCTTGGCCTTGACTCCCGAGACCACCCGTTCTATCCCCCAGGAGCCCCTGCTTCCAGGTCCAGCGCAGCCTCCTTATTCCTCATACCCTCACTCTGTTGTGCTCTCGCTGCCCAGCTCTCCAGGTTGACTCCAGGCAGGAGCTGGGTGCCTGTGGTGGGGAGCACCAGGTAGGAAGCATACCAGCTCCTAGTTACTGAAAATGTGGGTCTTGACTTTCCACAGTCATACATAGGAGTGCCTTCAAGGCATACCACAGGCTGGGGCAAGGTAAAATATAGCATTGTACCACTTCAAACACATCTTGCCTTCTCAAGGCTGAGTTTGACCAAGGCTGAGTTTGACTTCATTGTATATGTTCTTGGTAAGCAAACAAACAAAAGGTATATGCTGTAACTCACCTTCCCCCATAAGCAGGCTCTAAGGTTCAGAGCAGATCCATAGACAGTAAGTGTCCAGACGTGCTGTGGCTAGAGCATCCTAACCAGAACTGCAGGTTCACAGAAGGACTGACTGTTGCTGTGGAGTCCACCTACCTGGAACACAGAGACACAGGAGCGTGTGAGCTTACACATGTGTGCCTTGTTTCTTGGGAGTGCGTGTTACCAGGACTGCTTCTTGCATTGACGGAGCAGTTGCTATCTCAAGCATTCAAGTGCAAGGTACTAGGGTTGGGAGGATAGGGGGCAGTCTGGAGATGTGAGGCCAGCAGAAGCCCATCCTGGGAAGGTTGTTTACCATGCCCCACATGAGGCAGCTCCAAACAGAGGCAGCTTCCCCATCACAAATGAGGTGTTTGATGAGATTTTTGGATAAAACTGTATGAACTCTCTACTTATAATATTTAGCATACTTATTTGTATATATACTGATTTTAAAACATTTATTAAATTACAAATTTTTTCTCTTTTTCATTTGCTATTGTTGTTATTATTATTTACACATTCAACCGCTATACATCATTTAGATTGTAAACAGACTACCCAGTAGGCTATACATCTCAGTCCAGTTGAGAATACTATACACATCCTCATCAACAGATAAAAAACAGTATCTGTGTCCCACAAATATCTTACCTCTCCATTTTTCCCCCCAGATAATCTTTCTTGTGCTCTTCCCCTCCCATACTCTCCTTCCACTCTATCACTCATGTCCATAATGATTTTTAATGCTTTTATGTCTTCCAGTCTTTTAGTCTCTACCATGGAGTACAGACAGTTGGTGTGTGTCATTTAAAATATGTTGCTGGCTTTCCTGTTTCACAGCTAGTAAAACAATTTCCTTCTATCCTTTATACTTCAGCATGCAGTTTCATACCATCAGACCTTTCTCCTGCACTGCTAGCATTTTTCCAATGTGCCTCATTCTCACCTCTAAGTTTTAAATTTTTACTTTTTGAATTCATGAATGGTGTTGACACTGGGAATTTGGTCTTCGGTTACAAGGACTATTCTTACATTATCCTCTTCGCTGTGTTTTAAAACCTGTTTTGTAGGTGCATATTTACAAGTTACTGTTATGGACATTTTAAATGGTTAGGTTTCCACACGATCCATCACTTGGAACTGTGATAGCATAGCATCGATAATAATTAGAAACCTCTGTTGAATATCTTTGCCTTTCTCTGTGTCAGCCAGGCAATAGACAACAGCACTGACTGAATTTGTTTCAAGCTAACGTGTCTCATCTGAATAACAACTTGAGGTACAAAATGAAATAAATGAGAAAATACAAAATATGAAGAAATTCCATGGACGATAATGTTTAGTAGAAACCTCCTCATTGTGTTCCACATGGGCACACAAGTGGGTAGACAGTAATGAACATGCAGTAAAAGGTTCAAGGTGTTACCGACTGGAGGATCAGAGAGAGCTCGGTTGTTGAATTAGGCCTTGACGTTGGTATGTAGAAATATATTAGGAATGTGAATTTGATCGCAATATTTAAAAAAAAAGTAATAAATATTCAAAAGTTTAAAAGAAGGCAATGGAAGAGACCTCCCATTAGACACTGCAGAATTAACCCTTGTTTGTCTCTACACCCACAGAAACTGCACTAAAATGACACTAACAGAACAGAAGGGCACAAATTGCAAACACTCTGAAGTCAGGAGAAGAGAAGACAACTAACAAGAGTTGTGAGTACAATACCAGAAGCTGGAAAGTGGATGAAAAAGAGGTAAATAATGTGCAAAAGTGAAGGAAGTTAAACACTAAGCCTGTGAGAAGAGTACCCATGCTCGTATTCTAGACTACCACAGAAACCAGAGGGACCACGTGGATCCATGGGCGAAAGGTGGAGGTAAATGACATAAGAGCAGGAGCAGTAAGGTTTCTGTGAGGTAGTGTTGGGCCCCCAGGCACCCCATTCTCATCACAGGGATCACTCTTGAACTCCACAGAAGACTGGAGGCATCCTTTTCAAAGACAGTTAGGGATGGACTAATGACAATAAACAGTTCTGAAGATCACAAAGTGCCAAGATTAAAATAGAGAATTAAATGGGAGAAAACAGACTGAAGAGTAAGACCTCCTGTCTGCTTCTCCCAAGGGGCTCTCAGAATTCTAGCATTTTTATTTTCTCGAATCAGACTTGAGAATTCACCTGTCAATGAACAATGAGGCCAAGAAAAAGAACCTACAGATCTATCTTGATGACTCCAGAGTTCAGTGGCTTGACCTTGCCTGATCAGCCTACAGGGAACAGGCTCACCCATGCCCAGAAAGCTCCTTGCAGCATCTATGTCCAATGAGAATCACCAGAGAGTGGAAGACAGAGCTCAAACAAGCAAACAGAAAACAGACATTCAGGAAACAGTACAGGCGGCCGTATTACATCTGAACAGTCCATCACATTAATAGGATCTGTGTATTCATGAATCAAGAACAGAAGATTAAAAACAAAAACTAGAAAGTAAGAACTTAAACACACAATGCATAAATTATAGGAACAAAGACAAAAGTTGAGATAACCTCCCAGAAAGAACAAAAAGAGAAAGAGATAGGAACTGGGAGACAACATAAGAACTGAAGGATTATTCCAGGAGGTGAAGCATCTGGATCACGGAAGGTCTAGAAGTGGAGGGTGAGAAACTGGAGATGAGTACGTCATTCACAGTATAATGTGAAGGCATGTCTGAGAACTGCAGGCGTCAACTTCCATGTTGAAAGGACCCAGTCAATACTGAGCAGTAACAGGTGGATAGCCATCCCTCAGCACATGAAAAGGACTGTCCAGATGACAAGAGTGTTACTAGCCATGTGCAAATCGTCATGAGAGCGAAGGCCATTAGACTCTGATTACAACACTGTTAGAAGTGTGAAACACCTACATTTTCACTGTAGATTTTGGGATCCTGTAGGCTAATACAGGTTATCTAAAATTTTTTCCCCATGTTTTTCAAAAAGCCACTGATTGAGAAATAAAGTGACTCTAAGATGTGTCTATGGTATAACTAGGATTAAGCGACTGTTACACTTCCAACTGTATTGAATCAATTGCTTAATGCTGTCTCTCTGGGTGGGGGCTCTGGAGCATAGGCCAGAACAGTCAAGTGAAGAATGTGTGAAAGGAGAGAATATCGTGGGAGTCCTTATAGCGGCAGAACAGATAGAACTGATCCCAAGAAGACAGGGATCCATCCCAAAAGGCAAATGAGAATGGAGCTGACTGTGGGTTGAAGCATTGACTGCTGGGAAGTTGGAAGGAGGGGCCCTGCAATGCACAACTCTTGTTCTTCGGGATATCAATCTTTCTGCTTTTCAAGGAAAAAGAAATTTGAAAGAAGAGGCACATTTGGGTACCTTCTCCCTTGGTAGAAAAAGGGAGGAAACAAAAATAGTGGCAATAGGTTTTCTACAGAAATAACAGAATACTATGCTATCAGAAGACACATTTATTTAACCTCATCTCTAAAAACACCGTTTATCTATTTATTTAGATTTTTTGCCACAGGACATGTGTGGTCACAGGATAGAAACAGAGAGAGGTAAAGTGAGAAATCACTCTATGCCATAATCCCTTCCCCTCCATTCTCCTCTCGGGATTTTGGGCATGCACAGACATGCACCTGTGTGTTTTTCAGGCCACAGGTCCAGGACTTGAACAGCAGAGTTGGCCTTGTGGCCTCTCCAGTGTCTTAACCATCATGTCATCTGCTTGCCCAACACCATTTATTTTTTAAAAAGTACATTTTGCTGACCAACAGAAAATAATACTCTTGGACAGAGAAACCTTGTAAATCACCCACACCCCAGCATACTCTCCCAGTTGGAAGCAGCTTTGCATATTTGTTGCTAGTGCAGGAAAACCCAGGAACTTTAATGTAGGTAGAGGAGAGGTACACAACCCCCTCAACCTGAAGGAAGTGGCCTTCTCGGGGTAGTAGAGTAGCCATCACAGTTCTGTGAGAAGACGGTCAGTGAGAGCTACATCTTCCTGCTGGTGACATGGCTCCTTAGTCACAAAACAGAGGAGAACGCCACAATATATTCTGGGACAAACCAAACAAGTAAATGCATGCACAGATGTGAAAAACACCAGAAATAAGAAACTAAAAAATCTCAAGAATACAAATGGGCTATAGAAGTATAACAAAACAAGAAACTATGAAATGAGGATTGACTACCTATGTTAGAAATTAAAGTGAAAGACAAGTCAGCCTAGACATAAACACGAAGTTACAAGGTGCTGGGAAAGAATAAACTCAATTGAATGTGTACAGGATATTGAAGAAAGGATTAAAGATATCAAGAGAAAATGAAAACAACTCAAGAGGTTAAAAATAATCAAAGGACTGATTGGAACACAGGCCAAAGAGCTCCAAGAAATATATGCTGGAGTTTCCCCAAAAGAAAAGCAAACTATAAAATAGAACTAATACTTAAATTAAAATCCCTGAAATATTTTGGGAAAAAGAAGGAATCTATGAATTGAAAAGACTTATCCTGTACCTGAGCAAACTAACCCAAAATGGTCACCTCAAAGGCATAACCCAGCAAATGATTAAGCCTTAAAGAGAAAATTATGAGGGACTCTGGGCAAAAAGACCAGCTCACTTAACTAAGAAAAAAGGATCAGACTAGTATCAGATTTTCTGACAGCAACATACAAAGTAAGTTCACAGTAAGCAATATTTTCATCAATGTAAATAAAAATCAAGTGTGTTTCTGACAGCAACATACAAAGTAAGTTCACACTAAGCAATATTTTCATCAATGCAAGTAAAAATCAAGTGTAACCAAAGGATTTTATGTCAGCAAAACCATCCCTCAAAATTAAAGCTACAAAATAAATATCTAAGAACTCAAGAAATACTGTGTTTATAAGCCCATTGTGGGAAATATACCATAAGATGCTTGCTTCCCCAAGCCAAGATACAACTGAGAAATTTGGCATAACCAAAAATCATGAGTCTTTGTTGCTCAAAGACTAAACAAAACATGAGGGCAAGGGGGAATGAATAGTATTACAAAAGTTAGTTTTGAGGGAGGTGTTCTGAAAAAGGTAAAAATATATGAGTTAAAGTTCAATAAATT